CATTGTTTGATTTGTTTCTCCTCCTTGGTAATCAGGTTCCCTTGGGCATCGTTTATCGGTTTCATTATGTGGATGGATCTCTTCCCGGATAGCGTGTGACCTGGTTATCTGATATAATGTCCTGGGGTCTCTTTTACCTGCGGCCTGCCTGTTCTGCTTCAGTTGCCGGCAAGTGTGTCGTAGAATTGTCTTTTATCTTTCTTAGCACTCTTCTTCACTTCTTTATTCAGTGCAGTGTACGTTGAACTCAACTTATTCTTCTGCTGTCCATCTTTGCATTGAGTCATCTTCCCTTTCACCATCCTCCTCTCCTCTCTTCTATTGGCTTTCAGGTGTATGTTGAAAGTTATTCATTGTCTTGTCTCTTCTTACTTCCCAGAACAATTGTACACGTTTCCTTGAACATCACCTTCAGAGAGTTAGCTACGATGTTCTTCCAAGCAGGTTTCCTCGGTGATAACACGTAGTGTATCCGACTTTGCTCTGATCTGATCTGTAGTGAAGGTATCCCTTGTAGTTTTGTCCTTCAGTTTCTGAATGTTGAACTTGAATTACAGTGACCTGTCTCCAGTTCCCTTCGGGGATTTCAGCTTCACCTTGAAGGTGCCTTGAACTAGATGATGATCTGAGCCAACAACTGCTCCCCCTCTCGACTTTTTGTCCAGCAGGCTGTGCCTCCACTTTCTTGAGCAGCATTAAGATGAAATCTATCTGGTTCGTGGTGTGTCCATTAGGCGAAATCCATGTTGCTTGTGTATATCCTTGTGATTGTACACACTGCCTCCGATCACCAAATCATTGAAGGCGCAGAAGTCTGTGAAGAGTCCTCTATTGTCATTCATTTCTCCGACAGCCTCTCGACCCATGATGAGTTCTCTTCCTGTATTATCTGCTCCGAGTTGGGCTTGCATTCATATCCCCCACAGGGATTTTGATGTCTCCATTTATTCCTCCAACTACTGAACACAATTTCAGTAGCTAATATCTTTAATCGCAGAGAAATGGAAATGTGGCGTAATCCAAAATATATCACTATAACTACATGGGAAAGGGCCGAGTACATGAGGCTGCATACTATTGACTGACTTAAATCAACTCGTATTGCTTGCTAGCTAGATCTAACTATTCTAAACACCATACTACCGTTTTGCTTGTTTGAGGCCGAGCACATCAGCGGTGTACCCGGCTTGACTCGGCTCAGACAGCTGAATCAGTTCAAACCACCCGACTTCTGGCTAGCTACTTGGGTGAAGTTGTAATACCAAATTGCGAATTTGATAAATAGTCGAATAATCAGTTGATCCAAAGTAATATGGTTGCCTCTTAAAATTTACTCAGTAGTCCTGTGAATAATGCTTTGATTTTTGCAAAAATAGACAATGGTTTTAAGACTCTACGAAGACAGCAATAGATTGGGGTTGAGATTTATTCCCACTATCTGTTCTTAGTGTGCGTCGGTGACATAGCGGTTAGGACGCTCGCCGACCATGCACATGGTCCGGGGTTCGATCCCCGGCCACAGACGCACTCCTTTACCTCGCTCAGCCAGAAATAATGCTGGTGAAGAGGAAGGGTTGGGCATGAGGCTAGAAACCCCATCCTGTAAAATAAACATCACTGCTACAGAAACTTCAAGCCACAAGCTTGAAGCCCTATGTTCCACTGGGGAACGTGAAGGGAAAAAATCTGTTCTTAATAGCATGAAAGGCTGTTTACCGTCTAAACTATTCCTTGTTATCGCCTAAGCCTAGAAGTTGAGAATGACTCTAAATTATATTCATACAAATCTCTTAAAAATATTATCTGGTTAGGAGGTTAATCTTCAGAGGAAACGGCGTAAATAACTCCTGAAGAGGAAATTGATTCCACTATATTCAGTTAGACGTAAGCAAGTGGTTCATTTTCCTTTATATTTGTCTCTGTTAACTTAAACATTTAGTTTTTCTAAATAATCTGTTTCTCAACAAATGGAATTATCTGTGTGTGTGAATAGAACAGGTTCAAAGGTTACATCACTAGTATTTTACTCGTTCACTTTTAACCAATGTATGAAAGGACATATTTTCTCTGTTATGCCTGGCATTTATTGGTCTTGTTCAATGCCCATCGCCAGCTGACTTCTACCCGGAGAACTTGGATTACAGTGTTTAATTTTGGAGAAATGGTCCATTACATTTAATTTGGGATAATTAAAGACTGCTTATTGGCTTCCTTACTTACAGACAATTATTCACTACCTCCTTCTTATCAAGAAGCCATCTTTGACTTAAAGATTTTTGAATTAGGACAACCATAAGGGTTTCAATGTAGATTTCGTCACGAACCGAAGTCAGTTAAAGAATCATTGTTGCTGTTGTTTCGCCTTAGTTTGGAAGCCTTCAGCAATATGCGCCCACAACTCCATCAGAGGTGTAATCCACTATGAGCATAGCTATTATGCACCCAGTGAGTTAGAACCTGATAGTTTCTGTTACTCTATGATACAGAAAGAAACAGCTATCCATTTTTCCAGCTTTTAATGATTCTCCACTTGGTTTGCTTCAAAATCCATATGAATCCATATTGGTGTTTAACGCTACTGAGGAATAAATAAAAAAGGCATGAACAGAATCATCTGCTTACATACATTACAATTATACCTTATTATTTAGGAATTTCAGCCTCATAAATCACTCAGAAATATCAAAACAACTTCTGTAAACAATTTCTCTTATTATTTTGGAAATAAATTCTATCATCAAAATATAATCTTCCTGTTCATAGAAGAGGCTTTTGTAGAAATATTTTAATATCCGACTTAATTTAGAGTGGAACAAATACATCAGTAAAATTAGAAATAATAAACATTCCATCTGTTCTATTACTGAGTAACTTTTCAATCTCAAAACAGGAAATGACTTTACCAGGCCTGTTTGTGCAACCCTAATGAACAATCATCAGTCTCTGTATATCGAAAAGAAGTTTTCCAAAGGTTTGAGCAGTTTCAATCAAGCTTAAACTATCCGGAACTCGCATAAATTCTATATACACTAGTATTCTTAGCAAATGAAAACAGACTTATGAGATGTAAGATACGAAATGTCATTGTTAATTCCGGGAGATAGCAAGAACGCGACACGCATATAAAATCAGCTTATCCTAAAGACTAGTCAACAACTTCAGAGATTATTGTTTTTTCTTCCATAATTTAATACTTGTGATGATCGAACACACCGGTATTCGGCAAAATAGTGTACAATGGTAGCAAAATACAAAAATTTTACATAGAAATTTCCATTTACACAAAATTTCTATGCAGAAATTTTTTTGAGGACACTGCCTACTATCACCAATTGTATTCCTGATTGTGGCGAACTGGATCATGCAGCAGACTGTGGAAAGCGAGAAGACAGGCATAAGTTGGACCGGTAAAATGGTACTCAAAGATCTAGACTTTGTGGATGACTTAGGCCTGATGTCTGCAATAGAGAACCAACAGGCGGGTAGAAGAAGCGGCGAAGACAGGAGTCAAGGTAAACATAGAAAAGACAGCTGTGATGAAGATACCCAACCAAATACCAATCACTGTCAGTGGAATCAATTTATGGAAGTCATGTATTTCACTAACCTTGGGCAGTGTCATCACCAAAAGCATCTCCAACAGCCCGATTCAGACTTTCATCAATACCCATCTTCGCTTGATCATAAAGATCGGATGGCAGGCTGGAAAGGATAAATAACAAGGAACTCTGACAGTAAGCCAGCCAACAACCTATCGCTGAAGAAATATACAGGTGAAAATGGAGATGGATTGGACGTCTGCTGAAGAGACTGCCTGGTGATGGATGGGAAGCGACAAGTTGGACCAATATGAAGAAGAAATGGAAACCTGTGAGCAGTCATGAAGCCAGATAAAAAGGATGGCAGGGAACAAGATACAAGGCAGATGCGCTACTGAATTTGTATGTCCTATACAAAACCCAAAAGATAAGTGATAATAAATTACTTGAGCATGTTGAAAATCCCGATGCTCAATCCCATATGAATCAAACCTCCAAGAGTGAATAAAGTCGCAAAATGTATTAAAAGGCTTCTTTCTTTATTCTTACGGATCTTTTCAACTGAGCAGCACATACAGCTTTACGTAGTTTGCTGAATTCTTGTGATAATTTTTGCTGCTCCCGTTCATTAAGAAAGCTTTCATGAAATCATTTGAGTGCCTGTAAGTCTAGCATGAGAACTTACTATTGACTTGAAAGGATGTTGTTAAGCTTTGGCCCAAAATTAACTATATCCTTACTTGCTTTATGATTCCTATTAGGTTTGTTACGTGGTGTATAAATATTTCACAAGTTACTCAAAAGTATATTGAGTGTGTAAATCTGTTTAAAAATTACACATTAAGAGCTATTAGACTGGCGACGAACGAAGTTTTTCCTTAATTCTAGCAGACATACAAAGCTAAGCTTACTCACAAAGACTTCTTCATATTCACGTAGAATCTACTAATATCAATACTGAATTAAGTACATCAATAGCTCCCTTCCTTACTCACTCATTCAACCAATCAATCACTTTCCTAGATGGGGTACTCTCCATTAGTACCCCTCTCCACTAACACATTAAGAGTTGTGTCTAGCTTCAGCTTCCAAATAACGGCACGATATCAGGCTTCCACAATACCATACAACCAGAAAAAACCACCCTAAACATAATCTATATTATCAATGCTTGTCTCGAACGATGAATCAAAAAACCATCAAATAATAGACTGAGTGAATAATTTTCATTTTGCTAGTTTATTTACTTATATAAAATAAAGTAGTTAAAATAATTTTGTAAATAAATTCCTTCGTCAGGAATTTAAAATATATATTAGCATCATTTGCTTTCTTCTTTAACAGTAAGTAATAAATGAATCTATGAATGTAAAGAGTACACAACGCTGTGTCTTGACGAAATATTTACCACAAAAATATTAAAATAAATTTACTGAAATTTAACTGAATTCGTTGATCTTATCATGTTCGTTGAATAACTGGAGAACATTTAAATGAATATTTATCTAAAGATGTTATAAGACGTTCTTCGACAAAAGCTGGTAGAGCATTAAGGCATCTTATGACATTGTATCGATTTCCACCACTTATCTGAAAAATATGAACAAGGAAACCGCGGTAAGTTATGCACTTAGGTTCAATACATATTGAACATTTGTATACTCGAGATAAACCATACGCATATCTATGCATTCGTCTGATTAATTTATTAAAACTTTGTACACTCGGTGGTTTAAAGGAATCAGAACGAAAGTAAGCTGTATAAGTCCATGTACCATCCGATTTTCTTTTAAAACCAAGTTGAGGAGTTGCTTTTTTATGCATATCCATTGTAACCATTCTATGTTTATCATTGAAATAATGCTTCATACTATTGATTTCATATTTATAAATTTCAGAATTCGATAGAATTGGATAATTCTTTGTATCACCCACTGGACCATTCTGATGACTTAGATCTAACCAATTTACAGAGAGCTTCTGAAAAGTTGATTTGTCTTCTGTTGTATCGTTGTTTTCTTCACCGAAATCACCAGTGTACTTATCATCATCAGATTGTAAATCATGATATTTGTCATTCGTAGTAGACATTAATGGAGGTGAAACAGGGATTTGAAAGAGATTGAATCCATCATTATCCCATTTATCAGGACTCTTTCTTAAACTATTACGACGGAAAATATCGTCTTCTTCGAGGTGTTGTTTCTCTGTTATTGTCTTGTTTGAATTTATTTCAAATTTATTATCAATTTTGCTACTGTTACTACTGAAACCAGCAAAATCACCTATTTCAGTAGTATAAAACGTAGGAGATAAACTGGGAACATTATTACTTGGTATACTTTTATCGAAATTCTCTTTTAAATGTTTTTCATTCACATTTTTAAATTGTTTACTTGATGATTTCGAGTGTTTTTTAGTTAAATTATCATCTAATCTGTTATTGTTTGAAAAGTAAGAGAAATATTTCTTAATGAATTTATAATGTGATCTTCGACGACTGTTTGATGTACGCCTTGACGATAATGTAGGAGGAGTATCTGTCACTTCCTCAGAACTATGAGTGTTTTGATTGCCCATTATTCTTCCTTTGTTCAGTAAATATTTTATCCTACTAAAATTTTGTAAATAACTTTGAAAATATTGAAGTTAAAATAATTATTCAATGAGTTTAATGATAATTCACATCACAAATGTTAAGAAAAAATCTCTCGATTGAAGATGGTAAGTTGTATTGATTTATGTTCGAAAATTAGATCAATAAATCACATGACTGAAGTAAAGATGTTGTACTTACTAACTTATACACATGATCTGTATACCTGAATAATGTATGATCGCAGTGAATAAATATACTCTCACCTACCACCTTATGATATGCATATCCGAACACTTCAGCCAAGCAGTATCCACTCCCTTATATGGCTCAGAATAATGGTGAAAGACTTCATGGATCGGTGGCATGTTTTAGAGTGACCACACCTAATTCTTTTCCATAGTAATCCTAAGTCATTTAGCGTCGCTCGTCAAGGAAGGTGACGGCTTGTCACAATCAGATAATAATAATAATTATTATTATTATTACTTGCATTACTTGCAAGTAAACCATCCAGAGGATATCAAAGCAAGGATCGGAAAAGCAAGACAAGCTTTCACTACTCTCAAGTCTGTGTGGTGGTCAACAGCACTTAGCATCAAAAATAAGATCCACATTTTCAACTCCAATGTGAAGTCAGTGCTATACTATACGGATCAGAGACTTGCACTGCGCGTCATAAAGAGCACATCAAACAAGCTACAGACCTTCACTAACAGTTGTCTTCGCTCAGTACTCAAGATCAGATGGTCGGCCAGAAAAGATCACTAATAGGGACCTGTGGGAGCAAACCAACCAGGAACCGATTGTGAAACAAATAGACAGGAAGAAATGGAGGTGGATTGGCCATACTCTGAGGAAGCCATCAAGTGACATCACTAGACAAACCATTGCTCGAGTGGAACCCGAAAGGGAAGCGGCGAGTTGGTCATCAGTGCAAGGGTGACTTGGAGGAGGTCATGTGAAGAGGAGATGAAAATGTGTAGGCAGACTTGGAGCCAGATGAAGACTCTAGCAGAGAACCGAACTCAATGGAGACGCGCTGCTGAAGCCCTATGTTCCTCTAGGAATTAAAGGATACAATAATAATAATATAAACCATCCAGCTCAGACAACAAAACTAACTCACAGGATATTTCATTCTTGGTTACCTCAATGTAGATCCCGCCACAAACTAACAGAAGTTAGAGAATCATTCAAAACCAAGAAGTAGCGAACAGCCGTTTCGTTCCAGTTTGGAACTCTCCCTCATTGAGTAACCATGACCCCACCAGAGAACGATTCTAGGACTTTCAGGTTATGAGGCCAGTCTGTCAACCATTCAGCGATTGCTTTATGCTTAAACACAATTCAACCTCTGCTTTATGTGGATGGAAGATGCTGTGTAGATTTAGAGATGTGTTATACAATTCTCATATGATATACGACATAAACCACCCGACAATACTCTGCTATCTGTAAGCTTACTGTATTTATTGCTCATCATAATATAATCACAAATCAAAAAGCCCATATTAAGCAGCATTAAAAATGCAGTTTTATTACACTTCTGTTCTTTTATGTGCTTTATCGAAAAATGAAAAAAAACTGGAACTGTGGCACTTTTGTACAATGTTCTACTTTGATCAATCATTCAGTCCCTAAAATATGGCAACGAGACAGACTACACAGGAAATAAAGTGAAAACTACTTTTATTAAATGATGGCACTGTGGGTAAATTATCCAAAATACCTCAACTCACGTTCACTTTTCTGATAAATATACAAGAAATACACTAAAGATTCCTTATTGTTTCTCATATAGTTTATCGGAGTCATCAATTCTTGAGTACTGAACACACTAGTATCAAGTCCATCCAGAAGAATATGATTGATAGAATGAAAAAGTTAATGTCTTCTTTATTCCTTCACGTTCCCAGTGGAACATAGGGCTTCAAGCTAAAGGCTTGAAGTTTCAGTAGCAGTGGTGTCTATTTTTAAGGGATGGCATCGCTAGCCTCATGCCCAGCCTTCCCTCTTTACCAGTCTTATTACTGGCTTAACGAGGCAAAGGAGTGCGTCGGCCGGGGATCGAACCCCGGACCACATGCGTGGTCGGCGAGCATTCTACCGCTGTGCCACCGACGCACGGAAAAGTTAATGTAGACGTTATTTTTCCACAAGCAACAAAATTTCTGCATTTGTATTCTCACCCTATCTGATAAAAATATTTAGTTAGAGAGTTTACTGCTGTTATCAATGAAATGTTCATTCATAGGTAACTAGCGAAAACTTTCAGTTTATTAAATGAGAAAATCAAGTTCCTACAGCAACGGCCAATATAACTCGCTCCACAAGCGTAGTTGAATTGGTAGATAAAGTTAGAGGTGGCTAGTCTAGGTAGTTTATCTTTCAATCGATGAATCACAACCAGTCGTGCAGCAAAATACGACTTGTAGTTTGCCGGTATTAAAAGTTCTTTGAATAGAGGTATGGTGAAAAACATCAACAGCTCAATATTAGACCACCTGGTCCAAACCGGCCACAAAGCTAGCATTGAAGAATCCTTCTCCGTCATCTACCGGGTACTGAATAAAGTGCCAAAAGTATCCATGTACCGAAGACTCCAAACAGCAGAGGTTATCGCTATCCACCTGAAACAACTGGTGCTCTGTGTGCAGAAGAAACAGGTCCAACCACTACTACTGCCCTGGCCTTCCGTCGAGCCTACAAATTCATGAATTCTGTATTATTATTTTCCTAATTTGTCTGATATTCAGTATCACGCTTACAGATGCTACTGAACTATAATCTATTGATATTATTGATTCGATGTTATTGAAACATTCATGTTGTTAATAACCCTAATTCTTTCTTTATTATTATTATTCCCTTGGGTTCCGAATGGAACATACTTCTTCAACAACACATCTTCACTGGTCCTATGTTCTACCGTCTTCTTCAACCGAGTCCATGATTGACTATAATCTCCCGTCTCCTCCTCACACGATCCCCTCAATGTCACCATCGCACCGACGACCCACTTGTCGTTTCCCATTGGGGTTCCACTCAAGCTATGGCCTGCATTGTGCATGATGTCATTCGACAGTCTCCTCAACCTACACCCAATCCATCTCCATTTTTTCCCACATATTTGTTGAGCAATCGATTCTTGGTTGGTTTATTCTACTGCAGAGTTTTTGTTGCTAATTCTTTCTGACCAGCCGGCCGGCCATTTGATCTTCAGTATGGATCCAGAGAAGGCAGAACTTGTTGGAAATGCTTTTCGTGACGCGCAGTGCAAGTTCCTGACCCATATAGAAGAACTGACTGACTTCACATTTGTGTTGGAAATCCAAATCTTGTTGTTTATGCTGGCTGAGTGCAGTGCAGAAGATTTCCGAACTGGTTTCAGGTTGATGAAGGCGTATTTTGACTTTCCGATTCTGGCTGGTGTTGACATTTTCATCCGTTCTGTCTGTGGTTGAAACCGTACTTCCTGGCCAGATAAGTGAAAAAAGTAATCTCTATCAAATCTCTCCCGTTGATGGTGATTGGTGCTGATTTTTGTTGCTGTCGGTGCGTCGTTATCTTCATCACCTCCGTCTTCTCAATGTTGACCTGGAGTCCTGTCTTCGCTGCCATCCTCTTCTGGCAGTTTGTTGGTTTTCGCTTGTAAGTTTTCGAGTTTGTGTGACACTAGACATAAATCACCCACATGTGAAATCCAGATCTTCTAGAGTCTTATTGTCAATGGTCTTTCATTATTATAGATATACATAACTGTAGAACCTGATGAAGAAGTTATTGAAGAGAATAATTTTTGTTGAGTAATCAGTCTTTTGAAATATGTGGGTGTTATCTTATACTAGGTTCCCTGCCTAATGACTTCAGGATTATTTTCAGCACTTCTTTTCCCAACCTCAACATTGAATTCAAGGGAATATTAAGGTGTCTATAAACAAAGTAAAGTTCATAAAAGATAAAAGTCAATCTCATTGTGCTTAGGGATTTACATGTATGCGTTGTCACACGTGCATAAGGAAAACACATAGATCCCTACTGATAAGGGTTACAGAGCACACTCCTAAGTGGTCACAAGACCAAATGAATTCTTCTAATTCAAATGACCCTGGAAACAGATGCCCAGCATCATCTACATCATACAGACAGGTCATAAAGTTGATTTTAACACTGCTTTTGAATTCACCTATAAAAGATGTTTGATTCACCTACTGTGAGGATGGATTTCCCACCGATGACATTGGTTGGTGGTCGCGCTAAATCACGAATTGGTAGAAGTTAGAATTCATGGGCTATTGAATCGGGTCCAACTGGCTGAATGGCCAACGAGCTTGTCTTGTAACTGGAAGGTCCTGGGTTCGAACCCTGGCGGTGAGTGCGTACTGCCGATGAATCCCGAACTAGGATGAAACAGCTGTCCAGTACTCCCTGGTTTTCAATGGTTCTCTGACTAATATCAATCCGTCGTCAAACTCGTATAAACAAATCTAATCCTTACAAACCAACTCTTTAAAATTACTTAAATTTGTTACAGCCCTAGAAATAAGAAAGCATAAACCTATTTTGTGTATACAAGAGTTTTTATTCTGTTGAACTTGCCTTGGTAGTCTAATTTTAAAACCACTAATTAATTCCATACCAGTTTTTCCCCACTTCTTACCTGAGTCTTTGTCCCCTAAATTGACATTCTGACCTTTATTGACCCAATTTTGACCTGTTATACTCTGCTAGCTTTCATATAAATATGTTAGACGAGTACGTGTGTGATCAGAATCTTTGAGTTGTATCGCTTAAATATCACACACACACGCTCAGATTAATTATATGTCCTTTATTGTCCTGTTGAAATTCATAAAGGGTACTAATTGCTTTAAATTAAATTTTAAATAAAATGAACGAGTGAACCATGAAACCATTTGGATATAATGAACGTTTACTAGTATAGTCATAGTTGGATATGAGAAATAAAGCTGCCGATGTCTTATCTTCTTATTTTACTCTTAAAAACATTGCGTGACATTTTTTTATTTCCTTGCATTCTAGGTGAAACATAGGACTTCAAGTCTTTGAAACATCAGTAACAATAGTGTTGTTTTCAAGGGATGGGAGCTACTGGCCTCAAGCACAACCTCCCGTCCTTTCTGCGTTTACCCTAGGTGATGTTTAGGAGTATATCGGTGGGGAATCGAACCCGAGACACTTGCATGGCTGGCAAGCATTTTACCACTGAACCACTGACGCATTAAACTAGATGGTAGTGGACAGCTGTTTAGTACTAGTTTGAAACTCTTCAGTAGTACGCACCCATGAGTCCATCTATGATCAAATCCAACACCTGTCAGTGACATTGTAAATTGAAAGCAGATGATATTATGCACTGGATTTCAGGTAGAGAACCAATGAAAGACATACAGGAGACTGTATAACTGCTTCATTCTAGTTTGACCATTGAGTAGAGTTCAGCTACAACTTCATACAAGTTCACTGTACGAAACTAGGCTAGATCATACGAAACATTGCTGGGTCATTTAAAATGGAATTTAAAGATCACATTAGTTTATGAATTGTTACATAAGCGTAAATCATACTTCGGAATTATTATTATTGTTTCCTTTAATTCCTAGAGGAACATAGGGTTTCAGCCGTGCGTCTCCATTGAGTTCGGTTCTCTGATAGAGTATTCACCTGGCTCCATGTCTGCCCACACGCTTTCATCTCCTCTTCACATGTCCTCCTCCAAGTCACCCTTGCACTGACGACCAACTCGCCGCCGCTTCCCTTTCGGGTTCCACTCGAGCAATGGCTTGTCTAGTGATGTCACTTGATGGTTTCCTAAGAGTATGGCCAATCCACCTCCATTTATTCCTGCCTATTTGTTGTACAATCGGTTCCTGGTTGGTTCGCTCCCAGAGATCTCTGTTGCTGATCTTTTATGGCGGGCCATCTGATCTTGAGTATTGAGCGAACACAGCTGTTAATGAAGGTCTGTAGTTTGTTTGAGATGCTCTTTATGACGCTCAGTGCAAGTCTCTGATCCGTATAGCAAATAGCACCGACTGACTTCACATTGGAGTTGAAAATGTGGATCTTATTTTTGACGCTGAGTGCTGTTGACCTCCACACAGACTTGAGAGTAGTGAAAGCTTGTCTTGTTTTTCCCATTCTTGCTTTGATATCCCCGTCAGTTCCACCTGTAGTTGTGAAACGATGCTTCCCAGGTAGATAAAAGAGGTTGTTTCTTTTAGGTTCCTTCCATTTATGCTGATCGTTGTCTGTTGTTGTTGTTCTTGACCAGGAATCTTCATCAACTCTGTTTTCTCTATGTTCGCCTACAAATATTTTCCTTTTCGAAACTGAGTTATATATATATATCAAGTGACTTTCGTCGGTTAATTATAATCAGTCGATCGGGTCCTTATACTCTATAGTCGTACATTATTGTTATCAACAAGAGTTCATCTACCCTTCAACATAGGCATACTCACTGGAGTCCAACACTTGCCATTTTTTTGACCTGAAGACGGAATTCTACTCCGTCGACTGAGAGGTGCTATGGCAACGTTTGGCCGTGAAAGAAATTCCGAGGAAGTATATCGCACTAATCAAGGCACGCTACTCGAACTCAGCCGTATAAGAGATTGTGGACAGTCATCGTCTGAAGTGATGACAACTAGCGGTGTCCGTCAGGGATATCCATCGTCCTCATTTTTGTTTAATTTCATCCTAGGTGTACTAATGGAATTTACCCTGACTTTAGTAACTCAAGGATTGACTTGTTACCAGGGGACAGTCTTGTTGAATCAGAATATGCAGATGATATAGTCCTCTCAGGTGAAGACGCGGATAAAACGCAGAGTCTTCTGAACACCTTGAGCAAAAACCGACTCCTAGCTTAAAGATAGGGAGTGAATTGGTAGAAAGTGATGACCACTTCACTTATTTCTAAAGCAGCATCAATCCTGATGGTCTGACTGCTAAGGAAATCTCAGCACGGATACACAAGGCTAGTCTGGAATTTGCTGATTACATCATCTCTGGTGTAAATGTAATGTACGACTATCGATCAAAAGATGCGTGTACTGCGCAGTAGTTCTCTCTGTCCTCCTTTATGGCTGTGAGACATGGTCATCGAAAGTGGAAAACCTAAAGACGTTAGTTGTCTTTGACCACAGATGTTTACTTTCGATCTCCTCTGTTAAGTGGCATAATATGGTGAGTGATATTGAAGTTAGGCGCAAAGTGTTAGCTAAGAAAGGTAAGTTAATCGATGAAGTTGCGAAGGTGGGTCGATTGAGATGGCTAAGACACGGTGTTGCACATGTTGAGCTATCGCCTTCTTCGACAGGCAATGTTAGCCGACATGGGATCATGTTGGGAAACAGTTACACAGGTGGTCAAACCAAAACCTGGAATCACTTCATAAAGTCTTCGATAGCTGGGAGGTGTAAATTGCCCGGCTGGGATCCTCAAGATGTTCAGAACCAATATCTGCAGACCATTGGCGATATGGCTCAAAATCGTTCTAAATAACGTAGATGCATTCACTCTTTGTGAACTTCCATATTCCTTATTATAATTCCTTGAATCCCTCTTTTATCTACCTTTGTGCTACATGGAGTGTTATTGAACTACTGCACTTCTGTGCTAAATTCTACAGTGAAACTCAGTCAGTCACTTCGAATCCGTCAAATATTATTTGGTTAGAAAGATTAGAAACCAGGGTGCATTCTCTTCTACACAACATTCGAACCTCCATCCTTAGTTCAATGCTGCACAATACGATAAAGCTAAAAATCAGTATTACTGCTTAGTTATAATAGATAACCCACCCAGATTAACTAATCTACTACTCAAATAAAAGAAGCAAGTACTATACATTCATACTTTTAAAATTTCTCTTTTCTTTCTTCTTAGAAAAAAAAATGAAACAAAACGGAACAAAAACAAAATAATCATGCGAAAAGAGCCCTGTCCAAATATAAATTCCATCGTACGCATATATATATATATATATATATATATATATCATTGTCATATATTGATGGAATATACCAAATATTTATTCAATAAATATGTTTATATATATAATGTATACAGGTTTTTTTATGAACACAGAGCAAAGGAATTAGTGTTAATTGTCGCCTTGTTATTTCTAGCCCTCATAGCAAACATCGGTTGACTTGTACAAGTTAATAATATATATAATATATGCAGTATGCCTGCCTATGAGAGAAGTATTTGTATATATGACCGTGTAAATATATATATATATATATATATATATATATAGGCGGTAATATAGAATATGTATAATATCTGATTAAGATATGTATCTGAAATTTACTGTTAATATCTCTAGTTTATTTTTTTATGTGTGTATATATATAAGCAAATTATTAGTATAGAAGACAAAAGAGAAGTAGGAAAAGACGAAAACAGTGTAGCAGCAACAACAACGACAGCAACAACAAAAAGAAGAAGGATGAAGAGAAAGGCGAATTGAACAATTTGAACAGTGAACAATTTTATGATTGAAAATATTGTGTACCAGGTTTCAAAGCATAACAATCCAATCCTTTTTGATGCACACACACACACTAACAAACAAACAGGCGCATGAACAGTGATGTGAGCGAAGTAATCAGTCGCGAGGTAGAGGATACACAACAAGGAAGACACAACTTTGTCAAAAATGATGACATTGGACTAATCAGCGCGGAGAATCAATAATAATATAGTAGTAATAATAACTATACATACAGACGCCAGGAAATAGTAATCCGGTATACATACGGCAGTAGGGCTTTTGAGCACACACACATTGGAGTTTAGGCATACTGAGGATTAATCCTATAAAAGAGGAAGATAAAATATAATTTAAAGAAAACTGAACGTCAATATAAAATTAAAGAAACTGTGAAAAGACAAATATTTCCTACAAGAAATAGTGTAAAGTCATTTCACTGCAGAAGTCTTACATCAGTTGGTTCCTCGAAGTGTATTCAGGACAATATGAACACTCGATGTCCTAGACGCATACTCGTCTTACCAGTGCAGAGTGTATATGTGTGTGGGTTTAAACGTATTTCACAGAAACAAAGCAGTATTCTACGGAGATCCTGTTATTTCATCAAGAAAACATACAATTCGCCGCTAAAGATGAACTGCCAAAAGACCGAACATTCACATAAATCAGAGTCCTCATATGCATGTATTTGTGTCGCACTGATCGAAACTTATTATATGAAAGCTGGTGACAACACTTGGCTACCTAAAGATCAAGTAACAAAGAGAGGTATCAAGCTATGACTTAATAAGTTGAAAATTAGAATCTCAATACTCAAGGCCATGGAAAACATTGAATGTCAATATACTCATTGATGTATGCAAACTCGAAAGCAACTTTTAATCGATAGTGGTAGGGAATCCTACATTTCCTCTGTCTTTGGAAAGAACAAAAGATACATTTCATCTCAAACTGATATCAGTTAGAGAGGTGTACTGAAAAACAATGGAACACTAGACAATTATTAAATTCTAGTCTGTGACTCTCAAAAATACTGCGATATCCAGACTGAATGGACTTCACCGACTTGAGGAATAAGACATTCTATTCTACAATATGCAACCATTTCATATTTGTAAATGTTGGTCGTATGACTGATTTTAACTGGTGTAGTCAAGAAATTAAAGCCAAAAACAACTATTCCAAGTGACAGTTTTTGGCGTTGTTATATCCTCTGAGCTGGATGATTAGCACTGAAAATGCTGTCCAGTAGGATAATGAAATCTTTCAACTCAGAGAACGCAACTATATTAAGAACATCCCCTTGAGTTACAGATCTTCTCCACAACGGAATAAAACTTTGAATAGACAGTGGTTATTATTATTATTATTATGTAAAGGTATTAAAACAAAATAATAAAATAAGGCGTAAATACTGGTGGATATTTGGGAAAACAATTTACATTCGTTTAAGGGTAACACCAATTTACAAACAGTTCAAATCTACGAAAAGATCCCCTTTTTTTCTCTTTAAAGTCTAAAAATCAAATTAATTTTACATCATATGGTTATCTCACTACCTCACACTCTACCTTATACGCACACAAAAACACGGAAGTGTTAGAAAATCTAAATACCATCAAGCTATTTATCAATTTTTCCAAGATTATTACTAATACTACTACAAACTTTTAATCAGCATATATAAACATATATGTGCAAATCTATCCGTAAGTCCTTCGATTGGTGCAGACTGAATTCTATCAGTCATTTTTGCAAACGAAGGACTAGACGCATCATATTAGTCAGTACCTAGAGTGACCAATCAAAGTATCCACTACAAGGACATGAGTCCCTTCAAGTTTACACAAATACGCCTTGCTGACGAGTGGCAACAAGTGCGAAACCTAAGCCAAAAGCTTCCTGCTAATTGCCTCCAACCATCTAACAACAACAACTCAGAGTGCACCATGATGGCAAGCCACATAACAAACTTGACTGACAGAATTCAGTCTGCACCGAACAAAGGACTAGACTACTACCTAATGTCCAATCAAAATATATATCAATACATTTGTGCTAAATTTTCCTTACGTAAAAAAGACGTGTAAGAGATAACTAATAAACGAAGAATCCGACTCACCTTGTTCTTCTTCGTTTTCTTCTTCTACTCCTTAGCACACAAAATCTAGTATAATAATACTTCAGCAGTAGCTTGGAAAGTGAACAAACAACCAACCAAACAAACAAGTTTTACAGTTTTCACCAGCAAACACACCAACAAGCCGATCATCATCAGCTCAAGAAGAGAAAATACAATCTACAATATTGTAAGTGAATTTCAAAAGCATAGCGCAGAAAGAGCAAATTGTTTTTTATAAAAAAAAGGAAGCTGTAGTATATAGCAGCGCACCAGCACCAATACAAGTACAAGTACAAGGGATATACCAAATGATGAACAGTGTGAACAGAACGAAAGACAGATTCAACTTTAAAGGGGTTGAAACTATAAAATAAGCCTAGTTGTGCAAGACACACCTCCACACACACACACACACACACACACAAAGACCACCGGTTCACATTGCTGAGGAGTTTTGGGGTTGTATAAAACACTATAAGGTGTACACATATATATATATGTACGTGCATGTGCATGTATATAATATTATGCATAAGATTACTTAATAACTTCGAATTAATTTTATTTACATACGTATACAATTGTCCACAAGGAATTCCTTTTGTACACAATATATATTTTATGAATTGAGGGATGTTGTGTGTGTTTGTGTGTGCATGTGTAAACTGGAATCATGAATCCGACTTCTCGTATCCAAATGACCCACCCACGCCACCCCCGTTTGATGAACAGAGCAAGGGGAAAAATTATGAATAACTCTCATACAATATTTACATACACATACAATAGAATCAGTGATTTTTTAGTGCTGATTTTGCTGCTTGAGGTGGGGTGGTGGCGGGGGACTAGAAGGCGTTGGCGGTAGCACATTTTCATGCTGCCTTCTTTGGTGGTGTTGGTGTGGTTGTTGCTGTTGTTGTTCTGTATCATAACGATTCAAATTGGACGCTTTAATCCATGGATTATGATCAGAAACTCGATAATTTGAATTTGGCAGACAATTGTTTGTTGTCAATGTTGATTTACTATTGAAATCTGTTTTGTTCATATCTATAATGCAAAAGGTATATTTAAAAATAATAATAATAATGTACCGTCAAGTAAAATTTTGATTCATAATAAATAGACCAAACTACTTAGGAATTTTAGAGAAGTTATCAATGTGGACTGATATCAATTATGTCCGAAAAATGAAACGCTAAGTCAAATTCATAATTTGCAAATTAATTGATGATTCCCAATTAATAAATACAGTTCGAAGTGAGATTTAATCACAGTTGCCAAAGGAAAGGATAACTAACTCAGTTACCCTGGAAATGAGAGACCACGCAAATGGAGACAGAAGGCAGAGTTGTCCAAACCAGTAAGATTATCCATACACTAAAACTTCTCGGAAAGTTAAGTCAGCAAATAACTAATCTGATTGGCCCCATAAGGTCACAGGTCAAAAGGTTATCCAGCCACATTATTTATTTTATTTATTTATTTTGATTACAGCTTGATTCCACACCGTATTTTTCTGGTACAGGTATGGAACTTTCAGCATGTGATATCGGTAGCCCAAATTTCGCAGGCCGACCATAGATATCAGGTGTGCGTCGTCAGGGAATCGAACCACGGACCATGTGCGTGGTCGGCGAGAGTCCTAACCACTAGGCCACCGACGCCCTGCATCAGGTCATTGGTTCAATTTGTTGATTCTGATTCAAGCCTGTTTTAGCTACTTTAGCCTATTTTAAGCCCTTCCTATCACTTAGAATATGTGAATACAGAAGGACAAGGCCTGTAGCCAGGCCCTTACCCGTGATTTCATGATATTTAATACAACTACCTTCATTAGGAAAGAAACACTTGTCCAGTAATTCATGGTTATCAGTCGTTCTCTAACTAATCTTGGTTTATGATCAAAACTACGCTAGTTAATAACGTCAATAATAGTGGAAAGGTGATATTTCTAAAGGTAGTGAGAAATTAATCGTAAAACATTCAATAGAGCAAAAATATTCATTCAGACATCTATAAAACACAAAATAATCGAGCAAAGAATATTCTTTTCGATAAATTCCTCTTCCAGGCTCTACAATTATATATATATGTTTATATACACAGAATATTTTAAATTAGTAGTTAATAACAATATTAGCGTTTTTTTAAATAATATCGATTTGTAAAGTATGATCAATGCTATTACAGTTCATTAAAGATGCTTAAATATAATAATAATAATAATAATAATAATAATAATAATAATAATAATAATAATAATAATAATAATAAAGATATAACAGCGAATAGAATATCAACTAAAATTAGGGAAATTTCACAAAAATTCTGGATTATTCAAACCTGGATGGCCAAGGTAATGATAATGACTGAACTAACTTCTTTTGGGTGCATAAATTAGGCTTATTAATATGAATCCCCACAGCCTCAGCAATATTTAGAAGTCGAACTCTTAAAGCAAAACTGAGATTCGTAGGTATGCGGTAAATGACCCTGAAAGCATGATTAACGTCAATCTTGTGTTCTGTCTCCACAAGATGAGCCAGAATAGCGCTGCGAATAGATTTTGTTTGACTTTTGCTTAACCAGGCGGGGTGATGTTCGGAAATTCGACGAGAAACACGCCTAATTGTACGGCCTATGTAACTGGCTCCACAGGAGCAGTTAAATTGATATATACACATGGAAGAGGTGAAATTAGGCAGTTTGTCTTTTCGATAGAGAAAGAAAGACCAGAATTTATCGAAAAGAATATTCTTTGCTCGATTATCTTGTGTTTTGTAAAACATTCACTTACCTGATAGATGTTTCAGCTGTCCAATGTCTAAATCCTCTTGTTTCGATGATTTGTAATCATTATTACTGAACCCTCTTCCCACCAATGTAGAATTATTAGCTATATTGTTGTTGCTGTTATTGTTGGTATTATTATTATTATTGCTAACTTTCGTAACTGATAACGGCACCATTGGCTGCTGTGATATGGACGATATTACTAATGGTGTAGACGACATAATCGGATGATGAGCAGGATAATAAACCGGTGCAGAAGGACTAGGCAAATTGTACGCTTCATAGATTTGTTGATTTTGTTGTTGACTCTGTTGTTGTTGGTGTTGTTGTTTAAGCATAATCCGATCAATATCAACTGCACCATAATTACTGCTACTGTCTGTATCAACAAGAAATCCATTATGCGATAGAATATTATTATTATTATTACCAGTTGAACTTTGTACTCCATTCAACAGATTTGTAGGCACTGCAGTTGTCGACGTCGTCGTCAACATCAGCATATCATGCAGAGAATGTGGATTAGAGAATAACAATGGATGTTGGATTGTATTCACTGATGTTAAAAAGTTATTCATATAACCGTTATTATTGTTATTGTTAGAAGTAGCATTATTGGCAGATGTCTTGGGACCAACAATATTACTATTGAGATTATGATCAAATGGAGAATTCAATGGTGGGGGATTTGTAAATAGATTGAAATTAATCGATGAACTTGATGATAGATTAGAACAAGGATGCAAGTTGGATTGGACATTATTATTATTATTATTATTATTCATAGCAGCGAGTGCAGCAGCAAGTCTTTGTTGATTTAATTGTGCCAGTGTAGCAGCTAATCCAGGATAATCATGAACCATACTTGCAGATGCATACTCTGGACTCATTGTACCTAATTTTATTGTATTTAGGTATTAAGAAAGAAAAAAGCAACAAAAATATTAACAGTTCACAAATCACTTTCATTATGAGGTAAAACTAAGTAATCATCCACAATGGGAAACTTACGGAATCCTTCGAAGTGAGGACAGGAGTAAGACAAGGGTGGATGCCTACTATCGCCAATGATTGTCCTGATTGCAGTAGATTGGATAATGAGACAAACAGTGGCGGACAACGAGGAAACAAGCATAAAATGGACTCACACAAAAAACTTGGAGGATCTGGACTTCGCCGATGATATATGTCTGATTTCCCACAAACTGGAAGATATGCAAGCGAAAAGCAACAAGTTGGCCGAAGAAGCATCAAAGATAGGACTTCAGGTGAACATAGAGAAAACAGAGGTGATGAAGATTCCTGGGCAACACCACCAACAGCAACAACGACCAGCATAAATGGGAGGAACCTAAAAGAAACTACCTCCTTCACCTATCAACCTGGAAGCATCGTTTCAACTACAGGCGAACGGAACTGACGAGGATATCAAAGCAACGAGGATCGGGAAAGCAAGACAAGCTTTCACTACTCTCAAGTCTGTGTGGACATCAAAAATAAGATCCGGATTTTCAACTCCAATGTGAAGTCAGTGCTACTATACGGATCAGAGACTTGCACTGCGCGTCATAAAGAGCATCTCAAACAAACTACAGACCTTCATTAATAGTTGTCTTCGCTCAATACTCAAGATCAGATGGCCAGCCAGAAAAGATCAGCAACAGGGATCTCTGGGAGCGAACCAACACAGCAGGAACCGATTGTGAAACAAATAGGCAGGAAGAAATGGAGATGGATTGGCCATACTCTGAAGAAACCATCAAGTGACATCACTAGACAAGCCATTGCTCGAGTGGAACCCGAAAGGGAAGCGGTGAGTTGGTCGTCAGTGCAAGGGTGACTTGGAGGAGGTCATGTGAGGAGGAGATGAAAACGTGTCGGCAGACATGGAGCCAGGTGAAGACTCTAGCAGAGAACCGAACGCAATGGAAACGCACGGTTGAAGCCCTATGTTCCTCTAGGAATTAAAGGAAACAATAATAAATAATAATAATGAGGCAAAACTGAAATGCTTCACTATTTCTTGATATAACTTTGAACTAATCACAACTGTGAACTCCGTAGACTCTTCGTAGACTGATTGACTGAGTTCCAACAGAGAACTTTGCATAGAAGTGCAGCAATTCAAGTTGCCACATTGCATATAGCACACAAACGTAGAAAAAATAAATCTAAAGAACTATAACAAACGGAAATGTACGGAAGAAAGGATAGTAATATGGAGAAACATAAGGACTTAATAGATATTGGAGATCAGATGAAGTAGATGCGCCCTCACAATTGATAAAGATTCTGAGGCATGTCATCAACAGTCTCCAGCCATTGAATTCTTAGAGTCTCAATGACTCCACCCAAGTAGTCTACACCTCCCTATGTGTCTGGCTCAAACTACCAGTCAACGACTTCACGGACTGATGCCAGATTTTGATATGACCACCCTTAACTCTTTTCCAGATTAATCGTGCGTCACCTAACATTACTTGACAAGGATTGCATGCATTATCATTCGAGTTGCTGAGTTAGTAACCGAAAGCTGATAATTTATAAATTAAATATACTTTCAAAGTTGTATTCATTCATTTGAAAAGTTTGAAATACACAAAAGGGGAATGGATCAAACAAATCTACGGATGCATACGTAAACAGCCCAAGTAATCAAGCCACACGACACGGTATTCAATTAGTTTTCCCACTAGTAAGTGAAATTACATTCAGTACACCAACAAATATGCAGAAGGAAATGGAGATGGATCAGACAAACACGCTGAGGAGACCGTTGAGCGGCAGGCCCTCGAGTGGAGCTCCAATGGAAAGCGACGAGTAGGACGTGAGTCAGAAGGTGACATGGAGGAGAGGAAAGATTATGGGTAATCGTGGAGCCAACTAAACAGGAAGAGGATGAAATGAAGCCCTATGATCCACTAGGAACCCAAGGGAATAATAACAACAGGGTATGAACCTGACTATTCCAACCCCCTTCAAAATGGAGTCCGGACAATTCAGCTTTCATCTGTAATATACAAAACGCTTATCCAGCAGCTTATTACAATACAAATCATCTCTAACACAAAGCGTACCGACTAGTAAATGGTATTTATTGTTATTTTCAAGTATTCTAGCATTAAACGTTCTCCAGTGTATTAACACATTTAAAGAGAGAATATAGTATTGAATAAAAACTATTGTGTATTTCTATGCAACTTTTCTATGTAACTTACTAGCAGCATTACTGTCTATATCGGACTCGGTGCCACCGACTGTTGTATAGACACCCGGTTCTGTATTCATTAAATTCATACCCACTGCATTGTTATTACGGTAACCTGTTGTTTGATGAATAAGCCAAGAATTATCTGTTATATTTGTTGGATTCGATGAGGCTGGAATGCGTATCAAAGGTTGTCCATTGATCAGCATTGATGGATGACCATGAGATAAGTCGATTTGCAGTAATCCATTCGCTGTCTGCACAGATGTCTAATGTAAACGTAGAAATGAAAAGAATGCATGCAACTGACCGTCTTGTCACAACGAAAACAACAAAATGTTTTAGAGAGCAAACATGGTTACGACATTGATGACGCTAAATAATCCTGTTGAGAATCTTACAGAATTTTCCATAACTCTACTACAGTGACCCTACTAGTGACAAGCAGTGATATTGTTAAAAGTAAAACAAAGAAAGGGTGGGGGCGGACAAATGACGTACAGCAGACCAATCTTTCCCATATAAGCTGCTGATTAAATATTCATCTTTAACCCAGGTTAAAGATCGTGTCATTCATATTTTATTGATAGATTGCCAATCTTTAGGAAGAAAGCTCTTTCTCCACTTATTTCTATGAAACCACTTGTGACTAGTCCTCTATTTGCCTGACTAACTGGAACAACAATAGAAATAAAGTTGCATTCAGGATGTTGGCAATGACCTCAGGATAAATAGCTGCAATCCAGTTTGATGATTTCAAGCATAGACGAAAAGATGTTACTTTTGAATGATGGTGATTAGCAGTGGTACACACGCTGCATATTTCCTTCTACTTAGCACTTGTCAGCTGGATGTGCCTGCACATCCCCAGTGAGTGGTGATATTTCCCACCCAGACTCAAACCCTCCGCCCATTATTTCAAATGCCAAAGCGTTGTCCACTAGGCCACTGGGACACTGTCAAAACGTCCGTATGAGGAGTTAACGTGTCAACAGAAATCGAGCATTTCGGTGCAGAAATGCAAATTAACCCAAGTACAAATAGGAAAAAAAGGATTTCAAAAAAGTGTCTATTGTGAATAGACAACATCTGTAAAACCATTTCAGTAGTGCACACTCATTATCCTATATGGGGCTTGAACTAAGGACCTACAGACTACACAACGGACTCGTAGTCATTGAACCAATACAATGGATTTCATTTGCATTTATTTTCTGGAACTTTCAGTGTCTTTTCTACAGTCTAATCTTGGAAACCAGAAAGTGTGCATATTACGGTGTTCTGATATACTGTCAGTTTTGTGATGACAACAAAAAAACATTTTGGCTTTTCAAAATAACTTACCTGTCCTCTTATGTGTGCATTCAATAAATCATTTGAACACAATCCTGTATCATGACCAGGTTGACTTTTACTAGCTAATTGTCCGACTATAGGAAAGTCTTTTACACCATTAAAGAATTCTGTATGACCTAGATTACTATTATTGTTATTGTGAGTATTATTTTCAATTTCTTTACAATTAATATTTCCTTGTATATTTGCTGTTGTAGCAGTAGCAGTAGCAGTAGTATTAGTAGAATTATTAGAAATTGTCTTATTTCTATTCGCCCTAAATGATGATGAACATCGTTTACGACGCCTTCTCATCTTAGACATACACAACAATGATGAAAGGAGAGAGGAACGTTGTTGACTATAGTGATTGTGATGATCGTATAGAACATGACGATGAAGATGATTTTCATCGTCGAATTTATTATCACAGAAGGCTTCAGTCTCAGAGGTAATACCATCACTTGGACCAGTTGTACCGTCAGATAGACGATTAGCAATTGTATTCGACTGATCGACCAGAATACCAACACCTGGTTTTGATATTTGGTGTTGTTGTTGTTGCTGCTGCTGCTGCTGTTGACTTGGATTTTTATCATTTGAACAACTTTGTGATGATTCTGCACTTGTATTAGATGATAGAACCATTTGATGGTAAGATTGAAGTCCACCATTTGGTAGAACAGTTGATACTAGAAAAGTTATAATAAATAAAGCGCGTTGGTTACTTTTATCAAAAGCTCTAAAAGAAAACTGTGAGTTATAGAAATAGCCAAGTTTGAGTAGATTGATGGGTAATATGTTCAGTTAAAGCTAATACAAACTACTTTTTAAGAGGTCAAGAGCACAGTGCACTACTGAAGGGCTTCAGACTAAAAAAAGAAACACTTCTACGGAGTTCTTAGTTCTTTTAAGCAAGAATTCAACTAACAGTGATTAGTCAAACCAATTGAAATAGAGTTGATCGGTTATGTCAGTGGAGTTGCACATCCAATGACATAGTTCAATTCAAGCTAGAAACCGTAACAAACATATATACACATATGCGACGTTAGTTAACAACAATAATCCTCACTAAAAGTCTAACTAACATCCAATTTAACTTTTTGAACCAAAGTGTTAGACATACCAACATGTGTCATGTGTGAATCAATCAGTATTCTGTTGATAGTGTCGATTTTGAAGAAAAAATATACATCACACATAAGATCCATATTATAATTATCATTGTTTCCTTTAATTCCTAGAGGAACATAGGGCTTCAGCCGTGCGTCTCCATTGCGTTTGGTTCTCTGCTAGAGTCGTCTGCCAACTTGTTGCTTTTCGCTTGCATATCTTCCAGTTTGTGGGAAATCAGGCATATATATCACATCGGCGAAGTCCAGATCCTCCAAGTGTTTTGTGTGAGTCCATTTTATGCCTGTTTCCTCGTTGTCCGCCGCTGTTTGTCGCATTATCCAATCTACTGCAATCAGGAAAATCATTGACGATAGTAGGAAGCCAGCCTGTCTTACTCCTGTCCTCACTTCGAAGGATTCCGTAAGTTTCCCGTTGTGGATTACTTGGCATGCAGCATTGTCGTATAGCTGTTCGATGAGATGTATAATTGTCGGTGGTACACCATAGTAGCGAAGTAGTTGCCAAATCACCTCTCGATCGACGCTATCGAAGGCCTTTTCAAAGTCGATGAAGTTGAGATAGAGAAGTGACTGCCATTCCAAGCTTTGTTCAATGATGATCCGTAGTGTGGCGATCTGATCAATGCATGACTGGTTTCTCCTGAATCCAGCCTGTTCCGGTCGAAGTTTTTCATCCAGGGTGGAGTGTTTGATTCTCTCCAGGATGATGCGGATTAGTATTTTGCTTGGGATGGACAGGAGCATAATTCTGCGCCAGTTCTTGCATTGACTTAGGTCTCCTTTCTTCGGTAGTTTGAATAAGTATCCTTTCTTCCAATCCTAGGGTACTTTGCCTTCTTTCCACACCTTCTCTAGTAGTGGCGTCATCAAGTCCGCTGTTGTCTCTTGGTCCATTTTCAACGCTTCTGCTGGGATTCCATCTGGTCCTGCTGCTTTTCCAGCTTTTAGCATCTTGACTGCCTTCAGGACTTCTGATCCATATGGTCCATTTATGTGAGAAAAGATATGGGAATTTGAATTTCCAATTAGGGTAGAACTTAGGGCATCCCAGTTTTGCAATTTTCCATAGAAATTAAATACGAGTACTTATATAGGCTGCACTTAGAAGAATTTATCGTTATGTACTCGTGAGCATTACCAGTTTAGCTTGGAAATGGTGAAACCAGGTCAATAAACAGTACCATCTAATCACACACCACATTAAAATAGATAAGGCATTTACGGTCATCTATTGAGAGCTGAACAATTAGTCTAAACGTGCGCGATCACATCTCTTATCCATAGCTGAAGCTATACGGAATCAATTCATGCAATCAACCGCCTACTAAGGCCTACCATATAGTCATCATGGTGAACGTAATCATTTCACATCTTCATGCCTTAGAATGTCTCTCTCCACCTCAGAAATCGTCTCTTCACAGTTCTTACTCCCTTTTTACATTGACACCTAGTTCATATCACACCATTATTTTCATTACTGTTTGTCTTCCTTTGAATTCACGTTACGCTAAGCCTATTTTTAATTGTTATACTCACATTATTTCTCATCCCACTGAGTAAAAGTCGCCCCTCGTAAACTGAAATATAAATTTTACAAACACGGGCACCTAATCATCCTTTTCGCATATCTCAATCTGATGTGTATCTTGCATCCACTTGCATTTAAATCACTATCAAAATTAACTGCCTTCCATTCCATATTTTAGTTATAATTACATCCAATTCTATCCATCATATTGTTTCTGATATAACTAATAATTTTAGCTTTCAGCGACCACTGCACACTAGTGTATTAGGGGGGTGACTAAACAAAAACCTGAAATCAATTAATGAAGTCTTCGACAGTTAATTTGAGCAATATATGGTTGGGGTCCTCAGGATGCTAAGGACCGATGGCATCGAACTCAGCAAGGCAGGTGCATTCATTCCTTGTGACCTCCTGTATCCACTAGACCCTCATGATTTTTTTCATGTTACTGTCCTTTTTGCTCACCTTAATCCTTTTGAATTTATTTCCTCTCTCTTTTCTCCACTTTTGTGTGCTGTATGGAGTGTGGTGAATTGAATTGCTCCACTTCTGAGCGACATTCTATCTTGAAATTCAGTCAGTCAGCATGATAATGTTGCTAATTTTGTAACTACATAGCTATTATTATTATTATTATTATTATTAATGAATAAGATACTGGTGACAATTGTTCCCTCAAATCTTATTTGTTAATAAATACACATTGTTTACTTTTCTTTAACAAACAAAAGGAGAAAAAGAAAGAGATGAAATCTTACCACCACTGTCAGGTTTAGCTCCAGACAAAAGAAATGGATACATATTCGGTCTAATTGTTGTATAAGCACCGCCAGCGCTGCCAACAACAACATCTCCATTACCACGTAAACCTGTTGTATAAGCATTCAAACCATCTTCACCTCGAATTAACAAAGTTTTGTGTACTTGATGTTTTTCTCTTTCTAAATCATGCCTTTTACGATGCATCCATGTGACAGAGAAACATGCAACACCAGCTAATAGACCAAGGAAACAGCATAACAGAACTAATACCAAGATAACTACAGTGGATAGACGAGTTGGTGAATCATCGAGTACAGCATCGTTTGACGGAGGCACCTTTTTTGTATCAGCTCCATTTTCTAAGAAAATGTGAAGAAAGAAGAAACAATGAAATAACGGAAGACTTTTTCAAACGCGATAGTAGAATGTTAACATTTTTAACCAAACGAAAGTCTTTGAGAATAATTGTACTTCGCTTAAAACAAAATCCACATCAAGTGTGTACAGAGATTGAATACACCGGTCAAACGAAAACAGTTAATAAAACCAACTCTTTATTCTCACCTGTATTCACAACATCCTCTTCTTTATCATTATTATTCATTGGATTATTGGAAGACTTTGCAGGTATCACAGCCGATTCATCAAGTTTTACTGGTGTAGTCACCTTTTCTACAGGAGAGAATTGAAAGTGAAATGAAAAACTCATGTCAAGTAAAAAAAATGGGACAAGAGGTAAATTTTATAGGGCGATAATAATAAAACATGAGAAATATGAAAAACTGAATGGTGAATCGATAATTTAGATGATACAGACTCGTTCTGTAAAAAATAAGTCCCCTTAACTTGTATGGATCCTTTATTTTTTCTGATCTGTTTCCTAAACTAATCAGTTTTTGATGTTGTTGTGTTCTTTGGAATTGGACAGTTCAATTGTGAAACTTTCACTAGCCTTCTGGACACAACAACTTCAGGGTTAATCATCCAGGTCAGAGAACATGACAACAACAACAAGAAAACCGCACACGTGCAATCGGAATGACGCAACGCCTATACTGGAGATATGGAAAGTGGCAAAAAAAAGGGAAGTTGGAGAGACAGAAAGAGAGAAAAGATATATAAGACAAATTGTGAAACCGTGTGACTAAAATTGATATGATTATGACTGGCAATAATTTATGCTCGAAGCGTCATCCAGTTGTTAATAATGCATCGCTGTGTCATATTTAAAATAAACTTATCTAATCTGGAGTTACATTCTAACATTCATGATGTACGAAGACCTGGACAACAAAGTTCCATTATTGGATGCATTGATCAAGAGAACTAACACAGGAAACACAAGTATATAGAAAGTCAACGCACACAGACCAAATATTCAACTATAGTAGTAATAACCCAATTACCCACAAAAGAAAGTGTTAACAGACATTTTTTTAAAGATTTCAAACACACTGTAGCCCTCCACCGTTGAAAGGAATGGAAGAAAAATACCTACTAACTGTCTTCAAAAAGAATGGATATCCGCACAGTTTCACCATAAAGTGTTTAAATTCGAGTCATAACACCAACAAGAAACCATCATCAAAGACTACAAGAAAATTCATCCTACCATATATAAAATATCTCTGAAATAACAGCTAGAAAGTTAAAACCGTTTGAAAGAGATATAGCACACAAGCCAGCCAACACAATCATTGCATTTGATTTTGTGCAAACTCAAAGACCAATCCACCAGGAAAAGAAGATAAAATTAATACCATTTACAAAATAAATTGCATAAACTGAGCGATAAACACTACATCGGTCAAAGTGGGCGTCCTCTCCCTTCGAAGCAGAATCCAAGAACACAGATTAACTGTAAAAAGACTTGATATATATATTATATCAATACATGTAGATAATTATGGACACCAAAAATGCAGTCAGGGAATTCCTAGAAGTCTGGTACTCAAGTGAATTAGCAATTAACAGATACATCACTATAGACCAAATTTACCAGCCAATAAAAAGTGAATCACATGACAGGAAAGTTCGAATTCCAAGTCAATAAAAATGATCAGTAGAGACGTATATTAACAACCAGCCACGAGAGTGGTTGTCAGGAAATAGAATTTCATCATTCATGGGGAATTTAAATGAATTCATTTTATACTAAAACCTGAGCTGAATATGTTATCTAGAAGGACGACGAAAGCTTCGCAATTAAATCAACCAGCTCAGAGAACACAACTAATTCCAAATCATCCACCTGAGCTACAAATCTTCTCTATTATTTTTAGAGATAAAATTTCTAGAATACACATATGTACTCATAATTATCTCCTATTGCAGTAGTGACTTGATCAGTGAAGACTTTTGAATGTTATTTCTAAAATTAACTTACCGAGTATTCTATGTTCACTTAACACAGAAAAGACAAAACATCTCATATGTGATTTATAAACGGCATAGTTGGCCTTCATACGTGTATAGACCGTAGGCAATTATATGTCCTTATTATAATACTGGAGTTTTTATAAGTTATCGAATGTAATAACCTAACATGATCACATAGGCATAAAAAAATATGTTCATCCTTAGAAGGTAGAGTAAACTTTGAACTATTCAAGTTCATATGAATACCGCATGATCTAAATTCCACTACTCAGTGTGTTTTCAATGTAATTCAATTACTCACAGCTGAGCTCGAGTAACACTAGGAAAACACCGCTCGATGAATATGTAAATGCGTCCAGATGATGAGCTCGTAATAGGATAATCATCACTGAACAAAAATGAAAGTCTTGACGATGACCAAACCATACTGAAAGAGATCAATGGAGCACAGAATCTCCTACTTATACAAGCCAAATAAACTAACCAAAGTGAAATTAAAGGTATTTAAACAAAGTAATGCTTACCACTTTCAAAACGTATTTCACTGAATAGTAACCAATCATCAGCAAAAAATGCTTTCAACTGTACAACTTGACCGATTCGATGAGATAAATCCATAGTAATGCTAAATACACCTACACTTCGATTTTCTAACTTGAAATCACGTGATATCGGCGACTGACCAGAAAAGTGTACTCCACCTACACTGAATTTAACTTCAAGTCTTCTGGGTATACGAACCTGTAGTTATTGAAATATAAGAAAAGCATAATTTGCTTTGTGATTATTGTATAACAAAAGAAAAGAAATTAGGTAATGTATATTTGAGAAAGTTTAAATAAGACTTTCGATGAAAACATCATAACAACAGATTTTGATTTGATTTGATATTACCTTGAGTTAGTCCTATAATTGTAAATGTCATAAGTGTAGCCTTGCGGAAAATTCTTTGATGCAGTAAATGAAATTTTTTTAAATGAATCTTTTTTTCAAGGAGGGGGAGGATTTCCAAATAGAATACTGTAACCGATTTGCGACAGACTGAACCATCATTTTTAAATGACACTCTCCGGAAGCTAAGCAGTTCGTATAAAGCAGTTACATATACAAACTATTAGTGCAACAATCCATAAGGATAGGATTCTATTATGCTTCACATTGTAGATGTAACAATTCATTACATACAGAACTTAGAGAGTAGCTATTTAATGTAATCAGTTATTATTTGTGAAATGAGAGATAATAAATAAGCGTCACAAGTGCTTTGTTGAATTTTACTTTGACACCGGCAACATGTCATAGACATCTCGCTAGGCGGAACGATGCAGTATGACGTATATTTTTGAGAATGACATAAACACATCCTTTGAAAGAAGTCGTTTCCGTTATTCCATCACAAAATAATTCTCAAGTTTCATCGCACATCGACTTCCGTTAAAGAACCATTGAAAAAATAATCTAGTGTTTACTAGTAACTGACTAGAAGATGAAGTTGCCTGAGGTTCTAGTGAGAAGTCTTGATCAGTTGGGGTACACCAGGATGGGTGTAAGGACAAACACTCGCCGATGACAGTGGCTGGCAGTTACGCCATAACAGCGAATTAACACAAGTTAGAATTCATGGGTCATTGGATTCTGTCCCAGTGGCTGAATGGTGAACGAGCTCACCCTGCAACTTGAAGGTGCTTTGTTCGATCCCTGGTGGAGCGATGGGCGCGTACTGGTGAAGAGTCCCAAACAAGGACGAAACAACTGTCTAGTACTCCCTGGTTTTCAGTGTGTTAGCGATCATGAAATCAATCAAATCCCTGCAAACCGACACTTGGAAATGGAATAATTTCATTCGATAAAAACACACAGTGGTACAGTATTATTATTTACTGATGACACCTAACACTTGTACAAAAAGTTCTTCATAGTGGTCAGTCTCCTCGATTGGTGGTCACATTACAAACTCACTGATAGAATTCATTCGCCGCCACTTAGGACTAGATACATGACAGTTATTGCTTCCCATTGATCAACCACTATAAATACAAATCTATAATCCTCAGTAGAAATCGCGATCTCAGTATCCACGATTTCACGAGTTGGCTGTTTATTTACTACATGCCTGATTAGTCATAATTATAATAAAAGGGATACTTTAAAGAAATATCCAAAATGATACTCTTTTAACAACTAACCTTCTCTAAATAATTATTAGATACATAAAATCGAAGTCTTGTAAAATTGCGTATAGAAGCAAAACGAAAAAGCATATCAACAACATCATTATTTTTCTCCTGTGAACTTCTCCATCGATCTCGATGCCAACCAACAAACTGATGATTCATTGATTTGTCTGCTTTCAAACCTCGTTGAATCAATGGAGTTGCATCACGATTGGCAATATTTAAATCAATAAGGCAACCAAGTCCACCGTTTAACAGACTACCTGGTTCAATCCTATGACCATCGTAGCATGTATCAGAAAATGGAAGACCGCCACCAGCTTGACTAAAATTTTGTTTTTCATTTGTGAATAGTTCTGATCCTTGAACTTTATATAAATGCGTTTCAGCCTGATAGGGAGGATGTGCAAGACTTCCTTCAGGTATTCGGTATTCAACTAAGTCATCTAAAATAAGAAGAAAACAGTATTGAGTTAGCTTTCAAACTTTCATCAACAAATTTACACTACTCACAAATTATTAAGTAACACATAAAAAACTTTAAAATAAACCAGGGAACGAACTAATTACCTGAGAATTGACAACCGTATGCTTCAAGTCTAATGCACACAAAACCTGGAGGATCACGATATGGATAGATACGAATCCAACGAGCTATTAATGGTGGATCGAGAACCACAAATTTAGGCACTAAAGCATCTAAACCACCCAGAAGACGTGAAGTCTACAAGATGAAAAGATAAAGTAGTTTTAAAAATTGAATGAATAAAATTATTGTAAAATAAATCAATTAACTTCCAATGAATAACTATACAATTACACAAATATTTAACATAAAAAATCATATGCATGTAGTTCGTCCTTTGTTTAAAATATCTGCTGTGAGAAGGAAAACGGATTTAAATAACTAGAGAAATTCATGAACAACACTCACATTTGACGATCGAAAAAAGAAATATCATTCTCACATTACAGGAATTAATTACAATCAGAAGGCATATACACACACAGCTAAGCCTAACGAATGAGTGATGTTGACAGTATGATTCTGTTTATAACCATATAGGCATAAAAATAACTGGGCACGTTAAATGCAAGAGCAAAGTGACGATATTTTGTCAAAATCCAGCCAACTGGAACAGACTTTCCATGCAGCAGGCTATTAGCCAGAGGTGAAGTAGGTGGAGCGACATCTGAACCCAGGAACCATTGGCTGAAATTCCTTAAGTCGACGAGCCATAATCTCTCCACCTTTGACGATATAAACAATCATAATCCCATAGGCTCTACTAGTGAATCTTAACTTTCATCACTAAAAAACATTTTTACTGTCCTAAGGGAGGTCAATCGCGAGCCCGAATAGCTCAGTGGTAATGTCTCTGACTGCAGCACTGGGTGACAAGCGTTCGAATCTCAGAGAGGATATGAGTTCCTTCAAGATTGTAGATGCGCCTTGTTGACTGTTGAGTGCCAACTAGCACGAAACCTAGGTCTAGACTCACTGCCAAATGCCTCCAACCATTGAACATCAGTTCATAGTGCTTTGCGTGATGGTGGAGTCACCCAGCTTGGTGAACATATTGCAAACTTGACAGACAGAATTCAGTCTGCACCAAACCAAGAACTAGACGTATGACCGATCAAAAGAAGTTTCTAGTGAGCTTCACAAGTGAAGTGGAAGTATCTCCCTTATTTTAAACTTCAGTCCCGTAGATTAGAGAAAACAAATTTTCCTCACAAATACGGATACAAGTGAATAAAAGCTCTAAGTCACCCGCAAATTGACATAATACAGTTCAATAAAGTAGAAGTTGTTACACTAATTAATTAATTAATCAATTGACTGGTTAACATGACTACCTATTATAATCACACCCAACTGCAACTGTAAAAAAAAAAAGAAGAATGCCAATATTATGAATAACTGACTGCCTGATTGACTGATATTCTCTATTGTCTAGGTGTGTTTTATTACACTATTTAGTTAGGTAGGATGTTTACATCATCAAAATGATGTTGTAAGTGAAATGATGCATGAAATTACAGAACAGAAGAAAAAGTAAAAGAACTAAATGAAATTTCGTCTCTCCCCATCTCTCTCTTTCTTATAATAAATTCAAAATGAAATTCAATAGTCAACAGATACAACGGCGGTTATTTTAAAGTTTCTGCATAATTCAACAATAACTCCCGTATCTATTATTAGAAGTTAAACGAAACTAAGTGATATGTATTTTATAGTACAAAAAGAGGCAAGATTGTGGATTTCCTAACAAATGTTCACAGTTATCCATAGAATCCTTCGTAGAAACTTTAAATATGCGTGAGTGAAATTTAATCAAAAAGAGTTTAAAGAGATTATCTTCGTTACCAAAATTTAACAGTTCGAACCCTTCACCACTCTTTAAGTTGAAACGACCTAAGTAAATCCCTTTCAACTTCTAAATTAGGCATAAATAATCGTCTAAGTTTTCAGACTAATCTAAAAAAGCTTTTGGAAAGCATTGTTATTGATAAGTGGAAAAAGAGCGTCTTCAACTGACAACAACAACATTCAATCACATTATAACTCGATCATATTCATATTCTTTCTCTAAATAAGACATCATGAACACTTTCGTTCTTTTCACTTGCTAAACAAATTCACCTTGTAACATTCAATCTAAGCTGATGAAAGAAAACACTGTGTAGCTTCCTGCTGGAAGACATAATTCCATTAGCTGGAACAAGAAATATAAAGGAGACGAAAAGTTGTGTCTAAAATCTAATGTTCTTAGACTACCGGGCTTATCCCAAATGAATGTTACCTACTATAGTTCTACAAAAGAATAACCAGAATTAATATCACTGTGCAGTCGTCCCCCAGTCAAATAACGAGTTGCAGAGATGTATTTGTTGAAGAAACCATAAAAGAGAATATCAAGGTATGTGCTACAAAGGCCGAGATTTACAGAACTGCATACACGTAAGCTCATCTTTCTTTTGTAACTTCGAATACTGAAAAGTAATCCTATTGATTGAAAATGGAATCCCAATGGAATCAGTAAACTAAATCTCTACTCTACACAATTCCATGATACCAAGTCATGCTTATGTGCGTCAGTGGCACAGCGGTTAGGATGCTCGCCGACCGTGCACATGGTTCGAGGTTCGATCCCCGGCCACCGACGCACTCCTTTACCTCGCCAAACCAGTAATAATAAAAGCTGGTAAAGAGGAAAGGTTGGTCATGAGGCTAGAAACCCCATCCTGTAAAAATAAACACTGCTACGGAAACTTCAAGCCACTAGCTTGAAGCTCTGTGTACCACTGGAAACGTGAAGCAATAAAAAAGTCATGCTTATTCGGTCACACTCAAACTACAATGTTTCAACGTAGTATAATGTACATGGTGAAGTAAAAGAGTAGTGATCCAAATGAACGACCTACTCCATAACCTTGAAGTGATTGAACAGAGTAAACTAGTGTAATTTAGGTGAAAAATAAACGGTATATTCATGAGAAAATGTTTTGATGAAATGCAAGAATATTAAGATTGGTTACAGGATTTCATCATGAGATGAAATCGGTTGGAGAATCATTAGGAAACCTGGGAGTACTGAACAGCTATCTCGTCCAAGTTTGGGACTCTTCAACGGTGCGTACCCACCGGGGTTTGAACCCAGTGTAAGAAAAACTCAGTTTCTCATGAGACTATAAAAGTATTCATGCAAATAACTATCTTTTAAGCTCAGAAGGTAGAATTACAAAATAGGATTTAAGGTAAGAATTTGATTTACGGCTCTTTCTCCGGGTTAAATTTACTGTATCTAAACAGCATTTGATATGAAGAATAAACTCGATTTCCACGTTACCTACGCAAACACTGATTGGCTACTCAAAATTTTGTCATGCTCTTGTTCGCTTGGATCATTGTTTCTTTAACTTCACCATGTACATATACTTGGAAAGGAAAATGAATAATTTTCAAGTGTTTTTTCGCCGGGGATTTGACGGATTTCAAGATTGTTCACAAGCTGACTTCAATTAGAGAACAATAGAAAACCAGAGAGTGTACTGAAGAGCTGTTTCGTCCTTGGTTGGAACTTTCCAGCAGTAGGCATCCATGACCCAACCAGGAATCGAACCCAAGATCTCCAAATTACAAGGCAAGCCTGTCTGTCGGTCATTTAGCCACCCAACAGCCCATGAATTCTAAATTCTGTCAACTAGAGCTTTATCACAGAACACCCCCTCCGGTCGGTCAACCAATATCATCGGCAAGTATTCCTCCTCACATCCAACTTGGTAAATACAGTACTCCCTAGTTTTCATGACCAATCTTAAGATACACAAACATACAAGAAAAGTGAATGAGGGACAATTAATAACTTAGATGAAGTCTACGACCCCTACATACTTTCACAAAAACTTCAATTTTCATCGCTTTTAGTATAACAAGACAGTATATCAGATATGCAAAAGACAAACAGAGATTTACAAGAAAGTAATGAGTCAACAAATAAAAAAAGCAAAATTATTGATGACACAACCCAGACTTACAATAGTTGGACGGAGTTGTCGATATGTTCTCCAGTTTTCTTCATTCTGTTCCCGTTTATACCGAATATAAAAATATGGAGTATAACGACTGCCCTAAAATGTGATTGTTTTTGTTTGAAAACGAAAAGAAAGGAAAAAAGGAGAATTCCTAGTTCAGTCGAGAAATAAGTAGTATGAAACTATATAAATATGTATATAATGAAAAGAAAAGTACATTTGGGCACTAACTGATGACAACCGATCACATCACAACAGTCTATCACTTTACCCATCTAGTTGGATATATAGATTAAGCTAATCCAGATGATACGAAAAGCATCCCTAACAGGATGCTGCAAACTGTCATCAACGGTTGCCTTCGCTAGCTCGATATTCAAGAGCAGATGGTCGACCAAAAAGGATAAGCGAACAACAAGTAACTCTGGCAACGTACCAACCAAGAAGCTATGTGCCAAACTAACATGCAGAAAGAAATGGAGATGGATTAGACACATGCTGAGAAGACCGTTGAGTAAAGTCGAAGAAGTGCGTCGATGGTACAGCGGCTAGGACTCTCGCCGACCATGCACATGGTCCGGGGTTCGATCCTCTGCCGGCGCACACCCGATATCAATGGTCGGCCTGAAAAATTTGGGCTACCGATATCACATGCTGAAAATTCCATACTTGTACCAAAAACACTGTGTGGTTTCAAGCTATAATCAAAAAACGATAGACCTTCGAGTAGAACCCGAAACGATGGGTTGGACATTCGAGGATGACATGGAGAACATCGTGTGAGAAGAAAATGAAAGCTTATGCGTAATCTTGAAGTCAGCTAAAAGAAGACTGCACGGAACAGAGTGAAATGGAGATGTGCTGTTGAAGTTGTATGTTCCATTCGGAACCCAAGGGATGACATGGCGTTGAAGTAGGTTGTGTTCACTTGAAGTGACCAGCAGGAATCTCTATCTAACCAAGGCTTCGTATATATTCGTACTCACCAACAGGATTCATTTAAAGTCTTGAGGAGAGTTGTATTTCTTCAAAGTTTCAGGCAGTCAATAAGGTTTATCATAAAAAGTTAGCAAACTTAGGAACAATGTCTCCCAGGTAAAAAGTGTGTAAAAAAGAGGGCTTAGAATTGCATAGTCCAACTATGATATGATCTTATGAACAACTTATTTATTCCACTTAGTAGAGAAAAGAAACATTTTTGTAATTTATTTAATATTAACAAACTGATTTCTTCTATTACTAACCTTCTTTTGAAGGAAAGAAAGGTAGTATGCCATTTGCGGCGACAAGAGTCACTTACAATTTCCCCTATTAATCACTTGTCTCTTTTTCTTCTATAGTCCTCCAAATTGTTCACAATGCAAGTGTGAAATATATTTGAGATTACTTCAAATTCTAGCAACTCTTTCACCTACCTACCTACCTACACTTACCCTACTGTACATCCCTCTATCTAACCCTACCAACTAACATATGATTGAAAAAAAGGGAAAATAATGAGAGACCTACAGCATCGGTGAATACACTTTGCATCTGTTGCTGTACTGCTTTTTCTCTCTTAGCTTTAACAAACTTTCATCATAAAATCTGAATGAGAAAATTATGTGGGTGGTATTTTATTACTACCATCATCATGATTTGTCATCTATATTAAACATCTTAAAATTTGTATTCAAAGTAGTTTTAAAATAGATTACGAAGAATTAAAATTCTGCCTGATGCAGACAGATCTAATTAGTATTTATAGGAGGCAGATTACAGGGAACATCGAGAAAATGATAAATCTTGCAACGATTTCACCAATTGTAAGTAGTGACAGAAATTCTGTATTGGGGCGTGTTTTGCTCTTCGTCGTCTGCCATCGATTAGATTCTTCGTAGAATTGTAACGTTTCTCTTTTTATACTACTTATGTCTGCTTATAAGTAGTAAGGAAAGCTAGAGTTTAGGGATGTATTACTGACCAGTCCTACGAAATGACCAATGAAATTTTTAAATAAAGTATTGATCCGAAGAAGCCATTACCTCTATGCACATTTGCATCGCCTTCCTGTAATTATTAGTGGTCATTCTTCAAAGCCATCAAACACTTTTTGCATATATTCGGTAAGCCGATTAGTCAAATGACAATAACATAGCAAAAATCTTATCTCACAAGAAAAAAGCATTGGAAGGCATTTTCTAAATATGATTAGTTTTATAAAACTGTTAAGATTAATAACAGAGGTTCGGGCGTTTAAGGATAAAATAGATATTTGACTACTTGGCTTGAAATGTGTATATAAAGGCTTTGTAACTGGAAGAGGAAGGGGGCATTATGGAAGTGTACCACCTTGAAAACCACTTTAAAAAAGATAAACATCCTAGATTGGGACCTTTCAGAAGTTATTAATCGCAAGCCTCAAAGTCCGGATGGGATTTGTGACTGTCAGATCTCATAATAACTATGCTACGCTTCAGTTACTTGAGCTGAATAGGATAGATCCCAAGAGTATTAACCAGTACCTTCAGTGAATAACTGTTTTCATATTCAATCTGTTCAAACCTCACTGTTTACGGCTTCCAGTTGAAACTTCTGTGGGATCAATTTCGAAACACGATTGTCATTCAACTTGAAAAATATTTTCAAGTGTTGGTTTGTAGGGATTTGATTGGTTGCAGGATTTTCATCATGAGCTGACATCAGTTAGAGAACCATTGGAAAACCTGGGAGTACTGGACAGCTGTTTCGTTCTAGTTTGGGACTCTTCATCAGTACGCACCCACCGGGATTCGAACCCAGGACCTTCTGGTTACAAGGCAAGCTCGTATACCCGATCCAATGGCCCATGAATTCTAACTTCTGCCAATTCACGACATAGCGCGACCTTTAGCCAATGTCTTCGGCGAGTATTTGTCCTCACACCCGACCTGCTGCACTCTACTGGTCACGACTTCCCACTAGAACCCCAGATAACTACCTACCTGAATAGGGCAAGTCGTTACAAAGGACTAATATGATGCCATCACTATAGTATGGCCTAGCAAATCGCATGATTATCTGACCCTTGTAAGAAATCAGTGACACCACCTCAAGCAAACAACCTTTGAATAAGATAGCTATCCGAATCTACCATTCTTAGTTCAAAAAGAAAGATGAAATAATTGTTCATTGTTAGCATTTTGGGTCACACGACTCTTTTATTAGAGAGACAGAATTGGAAACTCAGAGGCCACTGGTTCGAACTCTGTAGTGATTCAAGTATTCATTTCGTCTTCAGTCATCATCTAATTACATCAATATCAATTTACCAACTCAGACAATCTCACCAACAACAAATTCTTTTGAGTCAGTTAATTCTTAGTAGTTAGTTACAATTATTACGAGTACAAAAGGTCAATGAACAAAGGAAACACAGTAAGCTACTTACTCCATCCTCAGCAAGTAATCCACTTATAACAACTTTAGTTATGATATTCAATTCACCCATATCCACTTCGATATATTCATCACACTCTGTACCAATACGTTTACCTGGACACCAAGCAAAATCTGTATTCTCATTCCTAAAAACAACAACAAAAGGCAAGATAGAAAAATTGAATTTAATATTAAAAATGAGCTAGAAAGTAAATTCTACTACTTCTCATAAAAAATATATCATTCACGAGTGTTGTGTGTTAATTTGCGTATGTGTAAATGCATATTGCAAAACGGTAGAAACCACACAACTGATGAGCAGTTTATGACCAATAGTAGAAATGCACAGCTGTGACACAATCCAATTGAAGAATGTAATGGTTGATGAATAAAGACCTCGTTCAAAACTTGCTACGATCTAGGTATTTAATTGCACCTTGAGCCACAGTGCATCACATCAATAGTGATCTGTCAATCCACAGAGTCCCCCCCCAACAGTCAACACCTTACTCCTTTTACTTATAAATCAGTATGATCAAATTTGACAGAAGTCGTAGATGAGCAGCTGATCTGATGATGCTAAACAGACAGTAACGTCTCCACTTATTCACAAGACAGATGGGCATAACATATGATGATTGCAGTAAAATGATCTCGTTAGTAGGTGGGTCAGCTGATTGACCACGATCAAGGTTTTCGCTGCACATTAGTACACATCAGCCATTACAATGAATTTTAGAGTAGTCCGCGAATCCAATGCCATCCTAGACAGTTTCCGCAACAATTAATTCGTTAACATGAAGTAAGAAAAATAAGTTTCAAAGTAATCCACTGAGGACTAAACCTCTAAATAGAAGTTCGAGTGGGATTCTTCCTCACACCAATAAAAATAACATAATTTTGTAGACGACAGTCTTATGTATCAAGAATATCAAGTGTTGTTCATCATATATGAAATTTCCTTTTCCGTTTTACCCAAGAAGACATATCGGTTGTGAAAATGGAACATTTTCGGTATCCAAACACATACAGTTGATATTTATTTTTGTAGCGATTTGAATTAAATTCATTCTAGATTTCATTACGAATCAACATCAGTTTGAAATCACTGGAAATCAAAGAACACTGGACAGCTGTTTCCTCCTGACTTAGAACTCTTCATCAGTGCGAACCCACGACACCACCAGGAATAGAACCCGGGAATTTCAGGTTACATGGCCAAGCTCGTTGGTCATTCAGCCACCTAGGCACTCTAATTCTGTCAACTCTGCCTTCGATGAGCATCCCCTTGACCTTAACATGGCGGAATTCACTGACCACCGCACTTCTTAGTACAGTTTCAGGACATCCATCCAGTGGTCATCAATGGGCTGGAGACTGATATTTAGATTATGGGTTGAATTAAATTCACGCATCTCTATAAACTCTATTCACTGAATGAATAAAGTACTTACATGTATACTTCCAGACAATATTGATAATCTGTTGAATTAGTTGTGTTCTCTGAGCTGGTCGATTTAATTGCACAGAGCTTTCGTTGTCCTTCCAGACAATATCTTCAGTACAGGTTTTGGTATGAAATGGACTCATTTAAATTCTCCATGAATGATGTAGTTGTATCTCCTGACGACAACTGTCGTGACTGGTTGTTAATTTACGTCTCTACTGATCACTTTTATTCACTTGGAATTCGAACTTTCTTGTCATGTGATTTACTTTTTATTAGCTGGTAAATTTGGTCTATGATAATGTGTTTGTTAATCGCTGGCTGATTCACTTGAGTACCAGGCTTCTAGGAATTCCCTGACTGCATTTTTGGTGTTTCCTCTATTTAAAAAGTTCTACATTATCCCAATCAAATCCGAATCCAAGAACACAAATTGGTTGTAAAAAGATATGATATATATTCTTTCGTATCAATGCATGTGGACAATTATGGACACCAATTTGATTGTGATAACGTAGAAATTTCAAATAGAGGAAACTTCAAAAATGCAGTCAGGGAATTCCTAGAAGCCTGGTTCTCAAGTAAATTAGTAATTAACAAACATATTATTATAGACCAGATTTACCAGCTAATGGAAAGTAAATCACATGGCAAGAAAGTTCGAATTCCAAGTGAATAAAAGGGATCAGTAGAGACGTACATCAACAACCAGTCACGACAGTCGTCGTCAGGAGAAACAACTACATCATTCACGGAGAATTTAAATTAGTCCATTTTATACTAAAACATGACCTGAAGATGTCGTCTAGAAGGACGATGAAAGCTCTGCAATTAAATCGACCAGCTCAGAGAACACAACTAATCCAATATCACCCACCTGAGCTACAAATCTTCTCCATTACTGATAATCTAAGTATAAGCTTTTAGAGTGAATGAATATTGAATGCATTCCTGCTACTGATAAATCAGGTAAGCGCCACTTTAAGTCAAAGTTTGACTACACACATGTCTTATCACCATTATTATTCTCCTTTTATTATCCAACCGTAACCCTACTGATTAAAACGAAAAAGATTCAGCACAAACAAAACAATGAACAATTAACTAATTTTCATACCATTAAATAAATATTAATCCTATCAGACTTACCGAATCGAATGTGCATTATACCGCTTAGCACCTGAAGGATCAAGTACTTCACTGGTAGCATTGAAAGCTTTATCCGGTATTCGATTTCGATTGACTAATAATGATTGAATACACTTTGTCTTATCTGCATCATAATCATTTTGAATGAAACTGATCTCAGAATTAGATGATGCTTGTACAACCGGCCAAAAGATCTTATTGCCAATACATAATAATAATTCATTGATCACAACCAAAGTGATTAGAGAATAAAATACTGTTTTTAATGAGATTTCAAAAGAAAAAGAAAGTGAGAAAATTATTTCAGCTTACTAATATAAAAACACATTATAAAAGTATGCAGATTTAAGTATTATTCATAACAAACTATTCATTGACTACTTGATAATGAAAGATGCAAACGAGAGGTAATGCTCCTTGAATACGTCTCCTACAGAACATTTTGAAATTTTCTATAGTTTGGTTTGTAAGGGTTAGTTATGTTTTTACGAGTATATCACGGATTGATATCAGTTAGAAAACCATTGAAAATCAGGGAGTACTGGACAGCTGCTGTTTCATCCTAGTTTGGGAATCATTGGGATTCGAACCCAGGACCTTCCGGTTAGAAGGCACGCTCGGGGTCGCTCTAAATCACGAATTGGTAGAAGTTAGAATTCATCAGCCATTGAATCGGGTCCAAGTGGCTTAATGGTATACGAGCTTGTCTTGTAACCGGAAGGTCCTGGGTTCGAATCCCGGTGGGTGCGTACTGCCGATGATTCTCAAACTAGGATGAAACAGCAGTTGTCCAGTACTCCCTGGTTTTCAATGGTTCTCTAACTGATATCAATCCGTGATCTACTCGTAAAAACATTTTGAAATGTTAATTCAATCAAAGTTTGAATAAACATACTCTGAATTCCGACTACATAATTTCTTGTTCATGTACACGTCTTATTCACAAGGACCGTAGATTTAAATTCAGATATTTAATCGTCTCACTAATTTTCAAGAGTTTGGTTTGTAAGAATTAGATTTATTTATACGAGTTTGACCACAAAATGATATCAGTTAGAGAACTATTGAAAACCAGCGAGTACTGGACCATGAATTGATAGAAGTTAGAACTCATGGGCCATTAAGTGTGGTCAAAGTGATTGGATGATATACGAGCTCGCCTTGTAACCGGAAGGTCCTGGGTTCGAACCCTGATGGTGGGTGCGTACTGCCGATTATTCTCAAACTAGGCTCATGAAACAGCTGTCCAGTTCTCCCTGATTTTCAATGGTCCTCTAACTGATGTCTCACTAATATTAGGTGAACACTTTTCATTTTTTGTTACTAGCGGGACCCACCAAGTCAAGTGAGAGGACAGTTACTTCCCGATGATATTGACTAGTGGCAATCCTACATATCTCGTGGGACAATGGATCAGGTTCCAGTAGCTGAACGGTCTACGAACTGACCTTGTAACCCGAAGGTCCTAGGTTCGAACCCCGGTGGGCGCTCACTGCCCAAAAGTCCCAAACTAAGCCGAGACAGCTATCTAGTACACCCTAGTTTCCCACTTATTCTCTAACCGATAATCAGCTCATGACCAAACCTGTAACCAATAAAGTTCCTGGAACACCAACGCTTGAAAAACAATAATTTGACTACTTTTCTAGTATAATGCCTAATAGAGATTTGTAGCTCAGAGAACACAACCAAATCAAAATATAAGGTCTATTTATTAATTAACTGTTATGATAACACCTCAGATAATGGCACATTTAATTGACTATAAAGGTATAAACGAACTTAATTCTGTGTGAGCCCTTAACTCCAGTTCTATTCATTGATTCCGAAAGAATATCTTGTTGTCTTTCTAAATCCTCATCAGTGCACTGTACGTATGTCGAGTTAGAGTTAGTTACGAACCGATTTCAAATTAGAGAACCAAAGGAAACCAGGGAGTATTGGAGAGTTGTTTCGACCATGACCTTACCCCGCAAGCCGAACCCAAGACCTTTAGATTACGAGGCTACTTTGTCAGTCATTTCCCCCCTAAGACAGAACCCAATATAGCCCATGAATTTTCACTTCTGTCATTTAGAGATATAAAACATCCCCGCTACCAGCCAACGTCACCAGTGAAGAATATCTGTAATCACTTTCAACTCTGTAGACCTCATTGGTCATGACTTCCTACCGGAACTCGAGACAACTTCATGCTGTAGTCATTTACTAACAATAAAAGGAGACTGTCGAATGAATGACTATCAGATTTTGTAATCTTGTCTACTTCTGTAACATAAAATAGATATATATAATGATCACTCTTCTAAATTGGTCATTGCTGTTTCAAAGCAAGTGTTATCATCAGCTAACATCAGCTACAAAGCCTTCGAAGACTTAAAGATCATTGGACTGTTTTGCTTCGACCTACCCTAGGAGTGTTCTTTAATAAATACTGAGCACTCATAACCTCATGACATATGAAGAGTAGGGTAGTTAGGTCTCAAGTGAAGCATGCTACACTTTCAGATGACTATTAAGTCTGTAAAAAACAATTCAAGTTTTCAGATTTTTCAATATTACTATTAAATGAATAACAAGTCAGAGAGAAATGAGTTGTAAAGTAGAAAAAAATACAAAAAGTAGGCGCCCGTAGATTTACACAAGTGAAGATTTTACAATGATCAGTTTTCAGAGGTAGGAAAAGGACCCGATCGGATTGTGCTACGGTATCAAATGGTGGTGTATTTAAGTTTCCTACTACCTGTTTTTTATTTATTTCTTCACGTTCCCCAGTGGAACATAGGGCTTCAAGCTAGTGGCTTGAAGTTTCTGCAGCAGTGTTTATTTTACAGGCCGGGGTTGCTAGCTTCTTTACTTTTTACTTTACTTCGGCTATCTCCTACGGGAGGATGAGCCGGCTTCATGAACATCTCGAATCATCGCTGCCCAGGCGCGGCGATCTGATGCAAGGTTTTGCGACAGGGTTATCCAATTCTTGTTCCACAGACGGAGTCCGTAGACGGTTTGTAGCCCCAGGCACTCCATATCAGCCTTGACTGTACCAAGCCATGTTTTCAGCTGTCCACCCCTGGGACATCGCCAAGATGGTAATGGCGAGGGATTTAGAACTGATTTGACCAGATCGTCATCTGGTCGGCGCAGAACATGGCCAAACCACCGAAGGCGACGTTGTTGGACCAGTACTGGAATTTGGTTGATGTTGTAGCAACGACAACGCACTTCTTCGCTGGAGAGTTTGTCCTGCCAACGAACATGCAGAATGTACCTGAGGCACCAATGGTCTACTACCTCGAGTCTGCGTACATCTTCCGCGCGAAGAGGCCAGGTTTCACAGCCATACAAGATAACGGATCGTATGGAGGCTTGGTAGACCCGATGCGTCGCTTACCGGGAACGCCGTAGCATGGTGACAGTCGTTTGTAAGAGAGTTCATGAAGTTACATGGGAATTTGGTACGAGTGATGTCCCCAGAATCGCTAGGGTAGCTAGCTTCATGCCCAACCTTTCCTCTTCACCAGCATTATTTCTAGCTTAGCGAGGTAAAGGAGTGCGTCGGTGGCCGGGGATCGAACCCCGGACCAAGTGCATGGTCGGCGAGCGTCCTAACCGCTATGCCACCGACGCACTACCGAACAGTTGATATCCTCTGTGTGTGATAGCTCAATCAAATAATAGGAGAAAGCCTAAACTCTGCTCGTATCCAATTCATTGTTTCACAGACTAGCCATGTGTGTCACAAATTTATCATGCACTGGGATTAAAACACAGTGATAATCAGATTAAAAGAAAAAACCAAGAAGAAGCTTTTCAGGAGATTTTGTCGTCAGATAGCATTATTGGGAATAAAAACCAAACACATACACACGTGCACACACACACACAAGTTTAAATTTTCAACTGATCTAACATTATGAGGGCTTAATCATTCATCCATTCATCATTATCATTATCATGTTCAGGAAAATAAACACACTGACGACTGTGAACTAATTAATAAAAAAAAAAACAGGAATGACAAACAAGTCCTCAAAAAATAATCAATTTTCCAATAATAAATAAATAAATAAATGGAGAATAAATGTACCATTCCCATAAATGACCTCAATTAACCTACATGATTATTGTTGTAAATGTGATTTTGCATTCATAGAATTTGGGAAGTAGAGTGGTAAAGAGGTTGAGAGATGTACGCAAAGTGTGATAACGCAAATTAGAGCAATTAACGAGTGTTCTCCTCTACTCTAGTCTACTCTACCCTACTCATTATCATCATCAAGAAATTGTAATGAAAACAAAAACTTCAACGGGGAAAAAACAAATAAGCAAAATCTAGATGATGAAGTGTGAATAAGATTCAAACACGCTTCATTGCACCGCATGGAGTGACCTAACTGGGTAACAACGTGTATATGGTAAATAAACAAACAAACAAACACACCTCCGAAGGACACGGCCTTCTCGTTATTATTCAATCTGAGTCTAAATACACACATATACATTCATAACTTCCATCTTAGTTCAGATACGGTTGAATAAGTAAACAAATAACTGGTGACAGACTGTAAGTGTGTGTGAGAGATAGGTATATAAGAATTGCTATAAGTAAGTATGATATCGGTATCGTAAACTTTTCACAGTTTTTGTTCCCTCTTATATTACACAGTGCCCTGCATACTTAGAATAGAAGAAGAATAATCAGTTGTACACAGTCAGAATGGCCGAGCGGTCCAAAGCACTACGTTCAGGTCGCACTCCACTCTGTGAGTGTGGGTTCGAATCCCACTCCTGACACCACTAAAAAAAATCAATTGCATATTTAAATGACCAAAAGTAAAAAAGAACCATCATAACAGACATACAATCAGTCAACTTTATTCTCCGGCAAATTGTCCGATTTTATTCCCTTCATGGGTGTGAAATGCCCTTCCCAAATAGAACTTACTGGCAAACAGAAAACCATCATCTAAGTATAGACAGGCTGTTCGAAGACAATGACAGCAGCTAGGCTGATTAGTCCAACCAAAGACATGGATACACTTCATTTTTCGAACATAATGAAATGCCTATGAGAACCTCAGTCCTAATAAGCAAAGCATGACCAAAACAACACTGTCGTACAAAATAGTCTATTTTCTTCTATAAGCGCCTAAACAAGATCGTATTAAATTCTTAGAGTTGACATACATACAACAACGCAGATGGAATGATTCATGCATAAATGACAATAATGAAAACATTGATGTTTGTGGTATTATAT